CGCGGCTGTCCCGGCTGCCGCCATGGCCTTGTGGCCACTGACACCCGGGGCGGTTTGAGGGGCATCCCGCTCCCAGGGTGAGGTGGTCCCTCAGGGGACCCATGCCTTGCCCTGCCGTGATGCCTGTGGACCCGGCTGGGAGCAACGCAGCTCTCCTGGCATCCCACGCCATGGGGCTGGGAGCCGTTAATCCACAGGCACGCCGCGGCACCGGCAGCGGTCGGCTGGCTGGCTGGCTCTCTGCTAGGACACGTCCTGAGCCGCAGCCAGCTCCAGGCAGGATTGTTTGAACTGGCATCTCAACTGGGGGGGAGCTGGCTCCAGCATCCCCCCACATCCCTCGACGCCGGAGGGAGGAGATCCTTTGGGCCAAGGGAGCTGCTCCGTCTGCCTTGCCCCCGTTCCTAGGGCCGGTGCCTGACCTGGCTTTGCCTTTCTGTTTGTGATTGCAGGCTTCGGGCCCGGCGGGATAGGAGCCGGCATCGGGGCAGGAAAGGCAGGGTACCCCACTGGGACAGGTATGCTCCCTTCCCAGGCAGCCCCAGGGTGGGGGACTGGCATGGGCATGGCGGGGGGACCAGGCACCCCGGTCACTTTGCCGGTGCTTGGATGGGGTGTTGGGCACTGCCCAGATGTCTGGTGGCCCCAGGGTGGCAGTGTCACCCCATGGACAGCTTGGAGGGGTGCGTCACCTCCCAAAGGAGAGGGGGTTGGATGCTGACAGGAGGAGCTGGTCCCCAGGGTCCCTGCGGGATGGGGGAGCTGAGGTGGGAATGGTCTCGGGACCTCAGCGGCTGCCTATGTCCTTCCCCAGGAGTCGGAGCACAGGCGGCAGCAGCGAAAGCAGCAGCGAAATATGGTGAGTCGCCCTCCGCGGGCACATCCATCACCCATCTCCCCAGTGGGGCAACTGCTCCCTCCCTCCCTCCCAGGCTGTGGGGGATGCTGGTTGTGTCCCTGCATCACCGAGCTGACGGTCCCCTTCTCCCCTGCGGCAGGAGCCGGTGTCCTGCCCGGGGCTGGTGCCATCCCGGGAGTTGGCGGATTGGTACCCGGCGTCGGTGTTGTCCCAGGAGCCGGAGGTGAGGTGATGGTGGGGCTCGGCCCTGAGGCTCGTGGAGGGTTGCCTCCCCCCGTCCCGCACCCCTGACTCTCTCCCGCTACCCCGGCAGTTGGAGGGCCGGCAGCGGCGGCAGCGGCAGCGGCAGCGGCGAAGGCAGCGGCGAAGGCAGGAGCTTTCGGTGAGTTCCCTACTGTCTCGGACAGATCCGGCAGCTGCCTGTGGGGCCGGGCTCACTCTCAGGGCACGGAAGAGCCGTGCATTGGTGCTGGGGCTGCACAGCTTCACTGCCTGCCCCACCACCCCGTGCCCCATCTCCTGGGATGCTCTCCCAGCCCCAGACCCCTGCCGCCGGCTCCAGCGGCTGCTTGACGGAGATCAGGGCAAGGTGAAGCCACTCTGCTGAGCCAGCAGCTTTTGCGGGTGGAAGGCAGCAAGGTGCGAAACCTCCCCCAGGGCTGCAGAGGGGCTTTGCCCCCTTGGGGGCAGCTTCCAGCAGCCTGTTGGGAGAACCAGGCTTGGGCGTAGCAAAGCCTGGTTTGCAAAAAGCAGCTGTTTCAGCGGTGGCTGGAGGGCTGGCTGGCCACCTCCCGGTGCAGCAGCCCGACACAGAGCAGTACGTCCCCATCGCGCGTGGTTTCTCCATAAGAGATGTGGTTTTGCTGTGCCGGGCTCTGGCGGGGCGTCCGGGGAGACGTTGTCTGTAACGAGCCGTCATTCGTTCGCAGAGGGATGTGCTTGGTGATGCAGATCTCGTGTTCGCTGCTCCCCTCGTTGGCTGTTTTGCGGGAGAAAAGCGAGTAGCAAACAACCGCTCATTGGAGCATCCAGAGGAAACACATCAGCCCTGGGAGCAGCTGGGATTTACAACCACGGCCTTGGGGGACCTCAGGGGTCCCCAAGCTCCTGGGTGGCTGGGCGGGCTCCAGACCCATGGGTTGGGTGTAGGGAGCTGGGAATCCCAATCCTGGGTACATCCCAGGTCCCCTGAGCAGCTGGTTTGGGAGGCGTGGAGAGCCCACCTCAAAGCCAGGTTCCCCAGAGCCTCCCGTGACACCAGGGGAGACCGTGTCCCCACCAGTGGCACGGGGTGTTTTGGGGGGGGGGTGTCTGACTGCTCTGCTTCCCTCCAGGTCCAGGGGTGTTGCCCGGGGTTGGCGGCGTCCCAGGCCTCGTGCCCGGCGTTGGCGGTGTCCCCGGCTTGGTGCCCGGTGTCGGAGGTGTCCCCGGGGTGGCAGGTGACTATTCCCAGGAGCCCTGTCCCCACCGCCCGGCTCTGCGGGGGGTGTGGGGGCTGGTGGCTGAGGGTCCCTCTCTCCCTTGTCCCCAGGAGTCGGGACGCCGGCAGCAGCGGCAGCAGCAAAGGCAGCTAAGTTCGGTACGTGCTGCGCGGTGCGAGGAGCTCTCCAGCAGCTCCCCCGGGACCCCTGCTGACCCTCTCCACCCTTGGCACTCAGGGTGCCCCCAGGCAGGCGGGTCTTCCCTGGGGATCACTCCTGATGGCTCACTACGGTGAAGCATCCGGGGATGGGATGTGCTCAGCCCAGCTCCCAGCTGCTGCCTCCGGGCTTGGCTTCATCCCCAGGGCAGGACCTTCTCCCTCTCCGGGGTTTCTGCAGGCTGCTTCGTGGAGGTGAACAGATGAGACCGAACTTGTGTCTTTGGACCTTGTCTGAATTCTTGGGTTTTGTACCAAATCCGTTTTTCCAGCAGCAGACCTGACCCAGAGTCTGGTGCCCGTGGGCTCAGCCTCGCTGCCCAGGTGGGCAGAGATGCCTGGCAGAGGGACCCCTGCCCAGGGTCATCGCCTTCCAAAAACCTGGTGGGATCCAGCAAGTGCATCCAACTTGGTCTAGCAAGACCCAGGTGTCCAGCAGGCATAACCACCCCCAGGGGAGCTCCAGCGAGGAGGAGCCCAGAGGGGATGAGGGACATGGCCAAGCAGCAGGGAAGCTGGGAGCCCGGGCGCAGAGAGGAGGCAGAAGTGGCCCCGAGGCTCCACGCGGGGCTGAGGGATCCGTGTGCTGCTCCAAAAGGCAGTGCCAGAGGTTACATGGCCAGGTCCCCGGACCTTCTCCTGCATCATAACTGCAGAGCTCTGGGAGTCCCCTGGGAGCAGCCATGCTCGATGGCAGCTTTCCTTTGAGGGCTAAACCATTGCTGGCCATTTCTTCCATTTCTTTTCTGCATCATGTAGAAAAAAAATCCCACCACATACCCAGGGAAGGATGGGATTTAGGGAGAAACTCGGCAGTGACAAGTGAAGGGGTGTGTGCTCTGTGCTGGGGTGCCAGGCACCTGCTGAGCAGGGGGCCAGCAGGACAACCCCTCTGGCACTCGGCCCTTCCAGAAGAGACCTGATGCTTGTCCCTGTGGCACTAACGAGTGCCAGCAGGTCAAGGCTGTCACTGCCCTGGGCAGCTTCCCATTCTGGCCAGTGCCCAGGGCACCCAGCCCTTCCAGGCAGCTACAGGGGACCACCAGCCACTTCTCCATGGCCTGTTTGGCTGCAAGGCTTGATGTCCCCATGATGAGGACCATTTGGAGCCCCCCATGATGATGAGGATCATCATGGTCCCCTATGCTGGTGACTTCCCAGCCTCTCTTTTACAACAGCAGATTTACCATCCTCACTGGGGCCTCTTGGGAGACACGGGACCAGTCCCTCCCGTGCACCGCTGTGCATCTCTCCCGGGACGAGGCGGTGGGGTGCTCTCCTCACCGCAGCATGACGACGAGAGCACACCTATGATGAGGTCCCACCTTTCAACTGTTGCTGCAACAAGATCTAACTTCTCCCCTCTCGTTGCCTGCAGGAGCTGGTGTCGGCGTTCCCGGCATTGGCGGTGTTCCTGGTGTCCCCGGTGTCCCCGGTGTCCCCGGCGTGCCCGGCGTGGCTGGGGTTCCTGGCGTGGTGCCCGGCATTGGAGGTGAGCGGATGGGCTGGCACGAGCCGATGGGGTGGTGCTGGCCTCACCGGTCCCCTGACTGTCTCCCTTCTGTCCCCGCAGTGGGTGGCCCAGAAGCCGCAGCGGCCGCGGCGAAGGCTGCAGCGAAAGCCGCAGCGTACGGTGAGTCACCGCCATCCTTTCCCAGGGAGGGAGGAAGGATGCTTGCAAATGGGCAGGGTGGGGGGCATCTCTGGTGCTGTGGATGGCGGGGAGGTCAGCGGGACCCCTGCCTACGGAGCCTGCCTGCTCAGCCACATCCCTGAACCTCTCTGCAGGAGCAGGGCGCGTGCCCGGTGTCGGCGTGCCCGGTGTCGGCGTGCCCGGTGTTGGCGTGCCCGGTGTTGGCGTGCCTGGTGTTGGTGTGCCTGGAGTTGGCGTGCCCGGTGTCGGCGTGCCCGGTCTGGTGCCCGGAGGCATACCAGGTGAGACGGTGTCTAAGGGATGTTTGGGATGTCCCCAGCAGTGCCAGCTATGGGGTGGTGGTGTGGCCACCACAGCCCATCGCTGCCTCTCACGCTCCCCCTCTCCCCCAGGAGTCGGAGGTCCAGCGGCCGCCGCTGCTGCCAAAGCAGCCGCCAAAGCAGCCAAGTACGGTAAGCCAGGATCTCTCCGGGGTTATCCCACATGTCCTGTCTCCTGCTGCCTCCCCACCCCAGGCTGCTCCCCTCATCAGGGCTGAGGCCCAGCACTGCACAGGGTCCCTGTGCTCGGGGCGAGGGTTGAGCTCTCCACAGGGCTGTATGTGGGACGAGGTCCTGGCTGTGTCAGGGGGTACTCTCCAGAGAGCTGGTCTGCATGGAGGGTCCCAGGTTCACCATCCATACACCTTCTCATACATCAGTCCATCCCCCCCCCCATCCACACCACCAGCCAGCCAGCCAGCCAGCCACCTCAGTATCCATCTGTCCACTCATCTGTCCATCCGTCCACACCTCCATCCTTCCATCCATCCCACCATCCATCCAACCACTCCACATCCGTCCATGTATCCATCCATCCCACCATCCATCCACCCTCCCATCCATCCACCCCACATCCAGCCAGCCAGCCACCCATCCACCCTAGCATCCATCCATCCCACCATCCATCCCCCCTGCCATCCATCTATCCACTCCACATGCCAGTCACCCATCCACCCTCCACCCTCCACCCATCCATCCATCCCAGCCTGCCATGCCTTTTCAGCTGGCTCCTTCCACTACCTCTCTTCCTGAGCTGAAGCCCAAATCCTTCCCTCTCTCCTTGCAGGAGCAGGTGGCCTGGCTCCTGGTGTGGGTGGTCTAGTTCCTGGCGTGGGTGGCCTTGCTCCTGGTGTAGGTGGCTTGGTTCCTGGAGTGGGTGGCCTGGTCCCCGGCGTTGGAGGTGTCCCAGGTGAGGAGGAGGAAGGCGGGTGGTGGTGGCAGCCTGGCTGGTGCGGGAGCAGGTCTGGGGCAGGACAGGCATGAGGAGGACCTCCGTGGTCTCCATCAACTCATGGCCATCCCTTGGGGGATACAGACAAGGTGGGAGGGATGGGCTCTGTCCAGCATTGCTGGAGACGACCCCCCCGGGAACACTGACCCCCCTCTTGCTGTCTCTGCTCAGGGGTTGGAGGTCCGGCCGCAGCAGCAAAAGCAGCAGCGAAGGCAGCCAAATTTGGTAAGTCACTGGAGAAGCCCATCGCTCGCGGCTCAGCCCACAGCAGGCAGCCCTACCTGCCCGGTGGGCATCTGGGGTCTCCCCATGAGCCCTGGCGTGGCACAGACTGGTCCAGGGGGAGCTGGGGGGGGTCA